AAACTAAAAACTATGCAATTTACTAACGTAGAAAACTAAGACAAATATTTATCATTTAGAAATAGCGCCCAGAAATTGTTGCAGATAAATCTGTCAATCAACTAATCACTTTAGGTCTATTCACAGCAGCAGGATGCTTCAGATTTGTTCCTTCAGTTAATCAACCTAATGCGGTTAACTTAAAGTTTAATTGCGTACTGGTTGACTGTCACAGTCTTGCTGCTGATAGCCAGCTTCCCCACAACTTGAGCGTTGTCTGGATCAATGCCTTCAATCTGCAGCCCAACAGGAAATGTTAGGGGTGAAGTCAGAGAAAACTGTCTGTTGAAAGTTGTGTGAGATCTTACTTCGGTATATGGAGCAGCAGGTTCCTGGTTCGGGCCCCACCTGGGACCTTTCTGTGTGGAGTTTGCATGTTCTCCCCGTGCTTGCGTGGGTTCTCTCCGGCTTCCTCCCACTGACCAAAGACATGCAGCTTAGGTTGATTGGTGTCTCTAAATTGCCCATAGGAGTGCGTGCGTGTATGTGTGGTTGTTCGTCTATGCGTTAGCCCTGCGATGGATTGGCGACCTGTCCAGGGTGTACCCCGCCTTCGCCCGATTGCCGGCCGGGATTGGCTCCGGGCCCACCCGTGACCCCGTTCAGGGACTAAGCGGTAGAAAATGAATGGAGCAGAACAGACATTTCAGATTTACTGTACCTTGCCATATAGATCTTTATGTGGCCCAGACTCCACCCACTGAATCCATTAACATGCGTGGAAGTATATTTATAGGAAGGTTGCTATGGTAACCACTCAGCCCCTTCGATAGCTCAGTTGGTAGAGCGGAGGACTGTAGGGTTATAATCACAGGCATCCTTAGGTCGCTGGTTCGAATCCGGCTCGAAGGAGGTTCTTTTTCTGTACTAACTAATGAATTTTCTTCCGCAGCCAATCAAGTGGCTAAATTCTTCTTTCTACAACCAATCATATGAAGAGCCTCCATCTTTAAAAAGCCAATCGCATGATGGAGTTCATTTTTCCGTGGCCAATAAAATGGCTAAAGCAATCGTTCTACTAATAATCAGGCAGCCCTGTCCATTTTTGCCATGCTAACATGTTTTCTAACCAATGATGTCGTGGTCCTCCGGTTCCTTAGCTAAGTTAAGTAGCTAAACTGCAAGAACCGTTATTAGGAAGGGTAAGTTTTCTCTTTTTCTTTTACATTTTTTAAATAATTAGCGTTCTATGTACAACATTTGTTCAACTGTTGTCAAAGTCAGTGGCGGGCCGTGCATTTCGTACCTGGGCCTTCAGTGGGGACTTACTCTAGTTAATTCACCTCTTAATACCACCACTATCACGTCGCAATTATAGAAACTCAACTTTATTTATTTAACGCTTTACCACAGCCACAGCTGACCAAAGTGCTTAACATACAGTACAAATCTAAGATCGTAACAACATAAAAATAAAAACAATAAAACCTACATTTGGGTCCAATCAAGGAATTACCCAATCTGAAAGAGTCTCAGTCCTGTCCAAACGCCAATGAGTACAAATAGGTCTTCAAATATGACTTAAAATGGGCAACGAGGGGCCCTGCCTCATATAAAGAGGCAATGCATTCCACAAATTTGGACCCACCACAGCGAAGGCTCTATCCCCCCTCGGTTCCTACCGAAGAAGCTGATAAGCTGAACTAACGCACAGCAGCGG